GTATTGTATTACTAAACGCACCTATTAAATATACAGCTGCGTGAGATACAGAAGAGTAAGCAATTAATTCTTTAATATCTATTGTTCTTAATGTACTAAAACTAGCATAGATTATAGTTATTACACCTATTACATATATAATATATGTAAAGTTTAAAGAAGCTTTAGGTAATAAAGGTAACATTAATCTAAATATACCATATAAACTTAATTTTAAAACTATACCTGCTAATATAATACTACCAGATAATGGTGATTCAACGTGAGCTTTTAATAATCAAGTATTTAAAAAAATAACTGGTGTTTTTACAGCAAAAGCTATAAATATACCGTAAAATAAAAATAATTGAGTTATATAACTAAAGTTTGCTTTAGATAATGCATCAAAATCAGTAGTACCCATAATAGAAGACATAACTATTATAGATAATAACATAAACAATGATCCTAATAAAGTATATAAAAATAAATAGAAACTAGCTCTTACTTTATTACTTGAACCAAATAATCCTATTAATAAAAATAAAGGAGGTAATATACTTTCAAAAAAGATATAGAATAATAATACATCTAAAACTAAGAATACAGCTAATAATAATGTTTCTAATAATAACATAATTACTAAAAATGACAATACATTTTGAGATTGTATTGAATTTCAATTAGATAAAATAGCTACAGGCATTATTATAGTTGTTAATAGTATAAAATATATTGATAAACCATCCACACCTAAATATACATCAAAATAACTTACTTGGTAATGTTCTTCAATAAATTGAAATTGTTTACTACTAAAATCAAAAAGTATAAACATTATTAATGATACAATTAAATTTATTATTGTTGTAGTTAAAGCTATAGATTTTATCTTAATATTATTTACTATACTTAAACCATAATTAGTCTCTATTGTTACAAGACTTATTCCTATTAATGGAATTAATAATAATAATAAGGACATATTTAATTTTTAATATATAAATATACTTTCTGCTAAAAAAACATTAATCTGTTTTTGTTATACCTTATATATGCTATAAAGCTTAAGTATATATTAGTTAATACTATATTATAATTTATTATTATTTTTTTTTTATAATACATACATACATACTATATTGAAATTTATAAATTACATAATAAATCTATGTATGATTATATAATTAAATTATATAAATCTAAATATTAAATTAAAGTATTAAGCTTGTAGGTAAAGCATCTAAACCAAATACAACACAAGGTATTAAAACAACATATGCTATAATTAAAGGTAATAATACAGTTCAACAAACTGACATTAATTGATCAAAACGAATTCTAGGGAAAGATGCTCTAACTCAAATAAACACAAATATTAATAAAGCAGTTTTAAAAGCTAAATTTAAAGGAGATGAAGAAATATTAACAAATATATCTTCTAATATAGAACTATTAATACCAAATATATTATATAATATATCTATTATAAATTCAACAGGTATAATACATAAATAACCACCAAAAAATAAAATACTATTTAAAATACAAATTAATATAATACTAGCATACTCAGCTAAGAAAAAAAATACAAATACACTAGCTGAATGTTCTGTCATAAAACCACTAACAAGTTCTGATTCAGCTTCAGCTAAATCAAAAGGAGCTCTATTAGTTTCTGCTATAGAACCTATAAAGAATATAATAAATAAAGGAAATAATGGTAATATGAAATCAACTATTCTTTGTGATTCTACAATAGTAATAATATTTAAATTACCTGTTAATAAGATAATTAATATAATTACAGAACTTAATATTAACTCATAACTAATTAATTGAGCTGTACTTCTTAATGAACCTAAAAAAGCATATTTTGAATTAGCAGATCAACCTGCTAATAATATACCGTATGTAGATAAAGATGATACAGCTAACATATAAAGCATACCTAAACTATAATCAGATACAAAAATTCCACTATCAAATGGTACAACTAAATAACCTAATAAAGAAAAGATTAAAGTTATCATAGGTCCTATGAAAAATAATATAATATTAGCTTGTGTTGGAGCTACATATTCTTTTAATAATAGTTTTAAAGCATCAGCAAATGCTTGTAATAAACCATAATAACCTACAGCATTAGGACCTAATCTTCTTTGCATAGAAGCCATAGTTTTACGTTCGGCTATAGTTACAAATGCAACTGAAAGTAAAGCAGGTACTATTAATAATAGCCCTTCAATAATTGAAATTATACTTATCATTTATTTATTTATTATTTATTATAACAATATATATCAATAGAATATTTATATTTATATTAATATTAATTGTAATTAACAACCTGCAGTTTTTATTCTATATATATAAATATTTAATAAATATACTCAATATTATATATTGAAATTTTTTTTATGTTTAATCTAGCTATAATATATAGCTATCTAATATTATAATTCTAAATATAGGTTAATATTATATATAAACTAATTATATCTAGAATAGTATACTCTAAATTGAAACATATATATCTAAGGAGTTCGGGGAACTCGAATCCCTTTATTTCGATTTGCAATCGAAACGCAGAACCTTCTACTCAAACTCCTTTAATTTGTAAATATTAATTATATATAATAGGTATAATAATATTATTATATATTAATTATTTTTTAGTAGCTAACTCTACTAAACTATTTTCTATAATACTTACTACAGGTACTATAATAAAGAAGTGTGCAAAGTATAATACTGTAGATATTTGTCCTACTTCAATAAATGGTGTTTCAACGTGTTTTGCACCTATTTGCATTAATACTAAGAAATTAGCTACAAATATAAAGAATGCAATTTTACTTAAAGGTCTAAATTGTACTCCTCTTAATTTAGATAAATCTGTTAATGGCATTGCCATTAAAGCTAAAATAGCAGCAAACATAGCTATAACACCTAATAATTTATTAGGTATAGATCTTAATATAGCATAGAAAGGTAATAAATATCATTCTGGTACAATAGCAGGTGGAGTTTGCATAGGATTAGCCACAACATAATTTTCACTATCTCCTAATGCATTAGGCATAAAGAAAACAAATATAGATAATACTATAAAGAATAAAAATATAGTAACTAAATCTTTAAATAAAAAGTAAGGAGCGAAAGGTAATCTATCATAATTAGCTGATATACCTAAAGGATTACCTGATCCTACTACATCGTGGTAAGCTATTAAGTGCATTAATACTAATGCAGCTAATACAAAAGGTAATAAGAAGTGTAATGCAAAAAATCTGTTTAATGTTGCATTATTAACTGAAAAACCACCTCATATAAATTCAACTATATCTTGACCTATTCAAGGTATAGCACTCATTAAATTAGTAATAACAGTTGCTCCTCATAAACTCATTTGACCGTATGGTAATACGTAACCTAAGAAAGCTGTAGCCATCATTATTATAAGGATTACTGTACCTATAACTCATGTTAATGTTCTTGGTGATTTATATGATCCATAGTATAAACCTCTACCTATGTGTAGGTATACTAAAAAGAAGAAAGCTGAAGCTGTATTAGCGTGTAAATAACGCACTAATCAACCATTATTAACATCTCTCATAATGTGTTCAACAGAATTAAATGCTTCAGCTACACTAGGTGTGTAATGCATAGCTAATGTAACTCCTGTTACAATTTGTATTATTAAACATATTGATAATAATGAACCAAAGTTTCATAAATAACTTATATTGGCTGGTGTTGGTGCGTCGATTAAGTAAGAATTTACTAATCTTAATAAAGGATGACTTTTAAGAATTCTCATATTTTTATTATATATTTGTTATTATTGTTCTATTTTATGTTTTATTTTGTTATATTTTAATATAAATAAATAAATATAAATAAATATAAATATATTTATATTTATTTATATGGGTTTGTTCAATTAAAAACTGCTATGCAGCCGGAAAAGAAATTATAATTTCTATTCTTAATAAATGTAATCATGGATCTATATATATTTAAATAATATATTTTTACTTTATTTTAATATATAATATTTATATTAATTTATGTTAGTTTATTTAATTAAAGCTTTATTAAATATTAACAGGAATAAATAATACAATAGCTAATATATTAGATAAATGTAATGTTTCATTAGGCATAAACATAAATAAAAGTATAATTAGCGTTAAAACAGAAATAGTTATAGATAAAGAACTAGATAAAGCAAATTTAGAATTAAAATATATTTTATTAACTACTTTATTTTTTTGTATAATAAGAGCAGGTATTTTTAAATCTTTTAAGCTACTAAAATAAGTATAAGAATGTCCATCAAAGAACATAGTTTTTACTATAAATAAGTAATATACAGCACTTATAACACTAGTTAATACTCCTATAAGAGTTAAGAATATAAATCCTTCTTGTAAAGCTGCAGAGAATACCATCTGTTTAGCAAAGAATCCCATTAAAGGTGGGATACCAGCAAATGAAAATAAAGTAATAGTTAAACTTAAAGCTAAGAAACTATTAATATGGAAATATCCTTTAAGCTGACTTATAAGTTGTATAGGTGAATTATTTTTATCTATTAAATTATTATGATTAATATTTTTATCATTATAAGCATATAAGCTATAACCTATAGCTATTAATAAAATAAATGCATTTAAATTAGATAAACTATATTGAGCTAAATAAAAAATAAATGATTGTATAGATTCAACACTATTAATAGTTAATGCTAATAACATAAAACCTAAATGAGATATAGTACTATAAGCAAACAATCTTTTAATTCTAAATTGTGTTAAACCTAATACAGTACCAATTATTAAAGATAATAATGAACTTATTAATAAACTAGTAGTTCAAGTATATTGTGTAGTAATATATATACTATTTGTATAATGAACCAATTGTAATAATAAAGTTAATATAGAAATTTTAGCTATAATAGCTACAAAAGTAGTAACTATTGTAGGTATTGCATCATAAACATCAGGTGATCAAAAATGAAATGGTGCAGCTGATATTTTAAATAATAATCCTATAGTTATTAATAATAAGCAATAAGGTATATAAGTAGTAATTTGTTGTTCATCTAATACACCTGCTAAATTATTTATAACATAGAAACTATCTAAATATGTTACACCTAAATTTGCATATATTAAAGCTATACCTAATAATATAAAACAAGATGCTAATCCACCTAGTAAAAAATAAGTTAAACCAGCAGATGTTGCAGATTCAGAATTTCTATACATAGTACATAATAAATATAAACCATAACTTTGTAATTCTATAGATAAGAATATAGATACGAAATCACTACTAGATATTAATAATAAACTACCTATTACAATAAATAATAACATTAATGTATATTCTAATATTGTATATTGTTCTCCTTTTTTTAAAATTATATTAGATACAGCAATATTTTTAACAAATTGTAATTTTGTGAATAATAATTTAGATAAACTTAAGTATTGACTTGATATAAGTTTTCTAGGATAAAAACCAGTTAAATTCAGTATTAATAATGTTATAAATAATATTAATATGTGAAATGTTTGTGTTATAGGTGATGTATAAAATAAACCACCGAACAACCCTATACCATTATCTAAATATGTTATAAATAAATTATTATAACATAAATAAATACAGTAAAATAATATTATAATACCTATTCTTGAATAAAGAATAGCTGTATCACGTCTAAAAGACAATGCATTAGATAATATTAAACAGAAGATTGAAGATAAAAGCATATCTGAATAAAAAATATAAATAAATTTAAATTAAATTAAATAAATAATAGATATAAATATATATATCTATTATCTAAAAAAAAAATAATAAGTTATTATTAAATAAATGATAACTTATTATTTAGTAAATGATAATTCATTATTATATAAAATTATTATTTAGTTGATGTTAAATTATTATTTAATAATGCAAACAAAGTAAATATAACTAATATAAATAAATTATTATCATTATATGAGAAATATATTAATGATATGTAGAACATTAAACCTATTAATACATATAAAGCATAAGTAGTAATTACACCAGTACTTAATTTACCTAAACTATTACTTAAAGATAATAATCCTTTTTCTAAACCATAAGGTCCTAAGAATTCTACTGAACCTTTATCTAAACTCTTAGTAGTTTGACCACCTAATTTAAGAACACCTTCTACAATATATTTATTATAGAATAATTCTATATAAAATCTTTGATTAAAGAAACTAAATATATTATAACCAAATCTTGAGAATTTAAAGTTAATAAGTAATTTAGGTAAAAATTCAGAAAATAAAACAGAAATAATACTTAAAGAAACTGTAAATATAAATGGTAATAATTTAAATAATGTTGGTACAGCAAATTCAGTATCTAACATAATTTCATGACTAGGATGAATAAATAAACTATTATCTACAAAGAAACCAGTACCTAAACCTATAAAAATATCTTTAGTTAAATAACCAAAGAATATAGAGAAAATAGATAAGATAATTAAAGGTAAAGTTAAGAAAATATCACCTTCATGAGCATGTTTATAACTAGATAAAGGTCCATTAGGATTAGCTAAGAAAGTTAAATATAAAACCTTAGCTGAATAAAGTGTAGTAAACATAGCACCTATAGTAGCTACAAAATAAACTATAGTACCTGATAAGTAGAATTGTCCATAAGAAGATTCTAGAATAAAATCTTTAGAATAGAATCCTGTCATGAAAGGTACAGCTACTAAACTTAATGAAGCTATTAACATAACTGAATATGTTAAAGGTAAGAACTCTCTTAAACCACCATATTTTCTAAAATCTTGATTATCAGCTACTGCGTGTATAACTGATCCAGCACCTAAGAATAATAATGCTTTATAAAAAGCGTGATTAACTAAGTGGAATAAAGCTAAATTATAACTTGATAAACCTATAGCTATAACCATCATACCTAATTGACTCATAGTAGAATAGGCAATAACTTTTTTAATATCTTGTTGGAATAATCCAATTAAAGAACTAAATACTGTAGTTATAGCACCTAATCATAAACATAAAACTAAAACAGTTGAACTATATTCAATTAAAGGTGAAGATCTCATTAATAAATAAACTCCAGCAGTAACCATAGTTGCAGCGTGAATTAAAGCAGAAACAGGTGTAGGACCTTCCATAGCTTGAGGTAATCAAATATGTAAACCTACTTGAGAACTTTTAGCTGTTGCACCTATTAATAAACATATTCCCACTATTGTGATTATAGTTTCATTATAGTAAGGTGCTAATGCAAATACTGTACTATAATCTAGATTACCAAAAGATCATATTATTGTAAACATACCTACAGTTAATAAACAATCACCTACTCTATTAGTTAATAAAGCTGATAAAGAGCTTTGATTTGCTGCTATTCTAGTAAATCAGAAATTTACTAAAAGATATGAACAAACACCTACACCTTCTCAACCTACAAACATTATTAAATAATTATTTCCTGTTACTAGTATAATCATCATAAAAGTGAATAAACTTAAGTAACTAAAAAATCTTTGATTATGTGGATCATGACTCATGTAACTTATAGAATATATGTGTACTAAACTAGATACTATTAATACTGGTATTAACATTGATACAGTTAATGAATCAAATCTAAAGTTTCATAATACATATAGTGATTCTACATCTACTCATCTTGCTACATTTATTGTTACTGGTATATTATTAAAACCTACTTCAAAAAAAGCTATAATAGCTAAAAGTGTTGTAGTTATTACTGAACCACATGTTATTATATGTGATCCTGTTATACCTACTTTTCTACCAAAGAAACCTGATACTATTGAACCTAATAATGGTAAAATTATCAATGTTAAATACATTTATTTATATTGTATTGTTATACTACCTCTTAATCTATAATATGCTACTAATATCCCTAAACCTATTGCAGATTCAGCTCCTGCTATTGTTAAAATATATACAGCAAAAGTTTGTCCTAATATATCATCAAAACTAAGTGAACTGATTAATATTAAAAATGTTGCAGATAATAACATTATTTCTATAGAAATTAACATTAATATAATGTTTTTTCTATTTAATACAAATCCTAATATCCCTATGACAAATAAAAATATTGAAAAATTCATTATACTTATATAAAATTTTATTTGATTTATCTATACTACATATATAAATATAATTATTATTATTATTAATATTATATAAACATGTATAAGACTTGAACTTATATTTACGTGTCCGTAGCACGCTATTCTACCATTGAATTAACATATTTTAAAAAATATATAAGAAATTTTCTATTATAATATATATATACTATTATTAGTAAATTATTTATTTTTTTTTTTTTTAGTTATTTAACCTTCCATTTGTTCTCTTAATCATAATAAGAAATCTTTTATAGATACTGATTGTATAGCAATAGGCATAGAACTGTGTAAAATACCACATATTTCTGAACATTGTCCAAAGAAAGTTCCAGGACGGTTTATGTAAACAGAAGCTTGATTTAATCTACCTGGGTAAGCATCTGCTTTAATACCTAAAGAAGGGCAAGCATAAGAATGTATAACATCAGCAGCTGATATAACAATTCTAGTGTGAGTTAATTCAGGTATAATAACTCTATTATCAACTTCTAACATTCTAAATTGACCTTGTTCTAAATCACTTTCTGGCACTATATATGAATCAAATTCTATAAATTCATCATCTGCATTAGTAAAATCAGGATATTGATAACTTCAATATCATTGATGACCTTCAGCATAAACAACTAATGAAGGATCCATAACTTCATCCATTAAATATAATAATTTAAATGATGGAAATGCTATTAATATTAATATAAATGCTGGTGATATTGTTCAAATTAACTCTATTAAAGTACCATGATTCATAAATTTATGAGCAATAGGTGATTTATTAGCTAAAAAATTTCTTATAATTGAAATTATCATTCATGTTACAGTAAATAATATAATAGCTAAATAAAACATTATATTATTATGTAACTCTTCAATACCTTCCATTTGAGGTGAAGCACTATCTTGAAAAAATAAACCCCAAGGAGTTGGAGCATCTAATTGTAATTTAGAAATATAATTATGTAAAAACATTTTTTTTTTTATTTTTATTGTAGTTATAATTTATCACACTAATTTATGTAAACTTTATGTAATCTTATATACATATACGAGTTAGACCGGCTTCGATCCGGCATCTATTTTCTTGACAAGAAAACCCT